TCAGTCCCTTCACACTTGTATGATTGTGTCTGCTCTGTATGCCAGACTGATTTAACTATTTCCCCAAAGACCAAGTTTGGGTAGTGATATATTTTTAAAGCTTTCCCGAGATGTATGTGCTTTTTTTCTTCTGTCTTAACAGTACAGTCGGCAGATTGTCAGCCTGGTGCTAAAAAGGTATAATCACTCCCAGCTTGTGTTCTTGTGGGTGGTGGGAATCAAACTGCAAATGCTGATGTAAGTGAGTGGGTTTCCTGTTAATTTCTTATATGGCATAGTCCAAAAATAAAGACTTTAGATTTTAATGGCTCATGTTAATTTGTCGATGAGGAGGCTGTGGACTTCGAATCAGGGTGTAGCAAGTTCTAGTCCCACTGCAGTCAGCATGTCGTTGTGTCCCTGGGCAAGACACTTCACCCCAAATAGCTCCTGTGGGGATTGTCCACAGTACTGAATGTATGTAAGTAGCTTTGGATAAAAGAGTCTAACAAATAACATATAATGGAATGTAATGTGTTGCCATTTCCACTGAGTTTCTAAGCTCAGGCTTATCCTTCTAAATATCTTACCAGGTGTTATCAACATGGGTATTGAAACCAATAGCTTCTGTAGGAACAATGAGAAGATTAAGGCCCCGTTTACATGGATACGGTTCGGGTTGTATCTGCTACTTTTCTCTTTCATATAGCCCGTTCGTTCACACGAGGCCGTAACGGATCCGCGGAAACGGACCCCTCAAATGATAACGGGTCCCAAGGTGGATAGATCTGCAAACGGAACGCTCTGGGGGGCCAAACGGCTCCGTGTGTACGTCCTATTCGATTATTTTCCTGATAACGATGAAGCCATAGCCCCGCCTCTCCCCACCTCTGCTGCTCACTGCTGTAGCATGGTCAGTAGCTGGGTCATTCCAGAATTGGAGGATAATTTAGAAACCAACATTTTTGAAAAATGAACCTTTTATTTTATAATTTTTTTTTATGTATTTAGGAAAAACAGATAATAAACCATAAAGAAAAGGGATTTGCCCAGCTAGGCATCAAATATATATTTTCCAATGAAGAATTACCAATGTTACTCTAATTATAGTAACAGGGTTGAAAGTAAGATGGTTGAAAATCAATGCTAATTTGAGCTTTAACCTCAGGAATTATTGCTAGATGTAGCATGTAATGCTACTTTCAAGGCAAGGACAAACTTGGATATCTAATGCAAGAAAGATAACTTTGAAATTAATATGCTTTATTATGATAATATCAGTAACAGGGTTGAGTGGGTCAGAGTGCCACACTCTTTTAAGACTGAAAAGATTGTAAAAATATGAAAAATAAAAGAGAGGACTTAGTTTTGGTCTACCCATGGTAGTAGCACATGGCTTGCTGATGTAACTTCCACTGTGTCATCTGATTTACAGTTTTTTCACTTCCTCTGCCAATCTAAAAAGGTTTGGGTAACAGGGCATGTTGAGGGACACACCTTCTGTGCAAAATTACTGTTATTTAAAATATGTTTATGATTTAACAAATACATTTGACCATTACAGGAGAAATATCAATAGAATAATTCCAAAAAAAGTAAATAAAATCCCTATTTTAAATGTTATATTTGACATGCAAGTTGGTCACCAAGAAGCGGGGACAAGAGAAAAATGCCATTTTAGGGAATGTTCGAGAGCTATTTGATCATTAAAATAATATTTTTAAACCACTTTTTCTACAACTTTATATACATTTCGTCTCAAGACAAGTATGTTTAACACAACAAGTGCATGTTTTAGCATTTTGGGCATGGATTATTAGATTTTTTATATGGGGGACATGAAATGTCCTCCAATTCTGGAATGACCCAGCTACTGTCAGTAGCTACTGCTACTGCTACTGACCATGCTACAGATGTTAGTGCAAAATCTACAGCTCCTCTACCACAACCATCAGCAACAAGTGGACATGGAGAACTACATGAACTACATGTTGCTAAATCCACCACGGAGAATAAACAGAAGGGCAACCATGCTCGGGGGTCTTCTTCGCTGCTTTTGGTGTATTTTGTGGCGGAAGTACAGCTAGGGCGACTGTGGCTGCGAGGGAGTGCGGTCGTCTTTCAACCAGAAGGTTGTGGGTTCGATCCCAGCCCATGCAGTCAACATGTCGATGTATCCTTGGGCAAGATACTTAACCCTGAGTTGCTCCCGATGGCATGGCCAATGGTGTGTGAATGTGTATGCATGTTAGTTCCTAGAGTAACATACACTGCTCTGTGTGAATGGGTGAATGACATGTAGTATGTAAAGCGCTTTGAGGGGTCTTAAAGACTGGATAAAGCGCTATATAAGTACAGTCCATTTACCATTTACAGCGCCACTTACAGGCCCGGCATATGTACTACAGCGGGTCGAACGGACACGTTTATTGAGCCGATTGCGTGTGAACGGTTTGATATCGAATTTGTTTCATTTTCGTTTGCGTTCCCGTATAAATGGGGCCTAAAGCTCTCCTTTCAAATCCTTCCACATTGATTTTTGCATCAATTTGGGATTGCGATATATGTTGGGCTTGTTTTTGGCTGGCTCTTACTCCTTGCAACCAAGTTCGAAATCCAAACTGGACCACTGACCCAAGGCTTTTTGCTTTATTTCAGTCATTTATAACAAAAATATGACATGCACATACTACTGGCATAGTCACAGAGAGAAAAATCACATGCAGGCAGGCCGCTCTAAAAGTTCTAAAAAACCCGCTTAATGCTACCAGAACAGCACCAAACAGCAGCCAGGCTAGGTTACTGAATGGCTGGAGCACACAGTAGATCATTTAGAAACTAAACAGCCATATGCTTCCCTCAGGGGGTAAAGACCAAAATAGAGCTTTTATTTGCCAGCAATAAATGCTAATGTTGCTACATGTCTGCTGGATGCGTAAATAGGCAACTGTTGCTAACACATACGTATAGACTTTATAGGAAGATACAATGCAAAGTTATTTTTGTAACTGCTTGTTCTCAGCTTCATAGAATAGACTGAGAATATACTGTAGGTGGAGGAAAAAAATCACAAGTGTTCACATGAAATTGCAATGTTTAAAAATACCTAAGTTCAAAAGTTGCTAACTGTTTCTAATGCTCAAACACAAAAGGTCTATTTTTACCATATGCCTAAGATCAAGTGTGAAAGTGATTATGAGTCATATTCAAGAACTGGTATGTGTCTGTTAGCTAACTGAGGTGATAAGGTGTATCTTCATTTATGTAAAAACATTGTCTGAGTGCCTTTAGGAGAGAGAGAGAGAAAGAGAGAGGAGAGATAGAGGTGAGAAGACAGTCGACTATAACAGCACTTTAGGAGTACACTGCGTTCCTGGCCATCTTCCCATGCAGCTTGACAAGTCCAAAGAGTGGACAGGTGGTGTGGGGATGGTGCTGGAATGGTATTATGAGATGATGCCCAATGGCCATGTGGTATCGCCCGCTCTTCGTATGGAACGAGAGGAGTCTGTGTGCCGACAGTGACCACAGCTATGAGTCACTGGCAATGCCACTTCCTGCCAAAGTGGATCAGAATGAGTGGGGCTTTGGGTCAGGGCAAGGATGGAGCATTTGATAACAAGTTCAATGGCTGGGGACAGCTTTTCATGGTAACACAAAGCTCAGAGTAGGTAGCAGCCAAGTGGAGATCAGACCAATCTACTGAGTTTTGACCCAAAGAATGAAAATAAATCACCACGGCAATATAATTGACATAGCTCAAGAATGCATTTCTTCTAGCCAAACTAGAAGATACAAAATGTGATTTTTAAGCTTAATGAATTGTAGCATCTGTGAAACATTATATCTATCAACTGGTTCACGTGACTTGACTTATAACTGAGAGTTTGCCTGTGTGCTTCTGTGTGTGTGTGTGTGTGTGTGTGTGTGTGTGTGTGTGTGTGTGTGTGTGTGTGTGTGTGTGTGTGTGTGTGTGTGTGTGTGTGTGTGTGTGTGTGTGTGTGTGTGTATGTGTTGCAATGCATGGAATCATCTTCTTTAAGGTAATAGCATCTTGGGGGAAAATGTTTCACTTGCAAAAAAGACAGATTGCCGATATGCGAGAGCCAGGTAGAGTCACTGATACAGAACTAATTGGAAAGGCAATGACATTTATTTGACAGAAATAAGTTGAGTGAGAGACACTCTCTTTTTAGTTGCTTCTAATTTTGTGCATGTCAACAAACAGGTTAAAAATAGAAGCTCCCAACATGGCCAAGTAAAACCTTCTATGAAAGAAAAAAAGGGTTAGTTGTAATCCCATGGATTAACGGATTTCACGAAGGCATGTGCCTAGTGTAAATTATAGAGGCCAGATTATATGTAGATATAGCAGCAGCGGGGTGATCTGCAGGGGCTCAGGGGCTCAATCTTCTCACCAACAAAAACACTATGTGTCGGAGATTGAGCAATATCATACCTCTTTTGAGCATGTGCTTTTATTTTGATCAGCACATTATGAATAAAAGCATTTCACGGTACATGTGGTGCTTTGATTGAAAGATTTTGTAACACCAGCGCTGCCAGCGTCACATTTGAAAGAGACTAGATTAACGGCAGCCGTCAAATTCACAGCAAAAGTTGAGCGGATTTTCAGCAATGAAATCACAAAGATATTGACAGATGGGAGAGCTGAAATGTTTTCTACATGCGAACCCAGGGAGATTGGGACAAGTACAACTTCATTCAGTTCATTCACACAACCAGAGTTTAGCCCTAGCTAAATCTGGCATAGATTAAAGAGGTCTGTCAACTCTTCTTTAAACGAAGCACTGGATAATCATATTAAGCATCATATGGGACATCTAAGATGGTGGCATGTGCTAGGAAAGGAACACACACACAATGCCATACATTTATATTGTGTTAAAGTTTGGCTTTAAAAGAAGGAGAAATAAAAGAAAGAAAAAATTATCTGCTTTTTATGCAAACAGGGACTGTGATTGAGGGACTGTGTGTTCAAGGAAGGGAAACAGACTCACCGTGGCGAGCTCATCAAATTTTCCAAACAGCTCATTTAGCAGTTTAACCAGTTCCTGCGCTGTGCACTGAGAGGCCAGGCAGGTGAAACCCACTATATCTGCAAACAGGATGCTGTGACGGAGAGAGAAAAAAAGAAGCGTTTCAGTCAATGCAGGTTATTTATAGCAGCGTCTATAAAGGGAAAAAAAGATTATTGGATGCCTCATCAGATTAGCTCTCAGGAATGTATTTTAAATGATGTTTAAAGAGTCTAAGCTAAAGTAAATTTGAACATTCTCTTTGCATAATGTTTTAACATAAAACATTCAATTTAATGATCTGCAGCAGCAAAAAGAGAGAGAGAGAAAGACAGTGTGCAGAGACTGGCAGTGCAGTCAGGCAGAGCGACTTAAAAATAGAAGCGAGAGCATTCTCATGGGAATCAAGGTGGAGACATGTCCTGTAAGGAGCTGATGAACAGCCATATATTGCAAATATCAAGGCCTCTCACCCCCTCTCCAGGTCAACTTGTACAACCTTTTGATTGTTAGTACACAATACTGAGAGAGCTTGAAGTTAAAGTCAAGAAGAAATGTTAATAAGAATTTGCTTTTCTGCAGTGATACCACCTCCTACATTAATATTCTCCAGTTGGCTTACATTGTTGGTAACGATGGAAGGTGCTGTAATACAATTGGTCTAATATATGTGTAGGCGGGCACTAAACATAGTTCCTAATATCTCTACAGTCACACAAGCAGTTAACCAGCTGGGAGACTAATGTTGTTTTAGCCGCCTCTTTTGCTGTTAGTCCCATCTGTGATTTAAACGCTCCATATGGGACTCAGTGACTCTGCATGTAAGTGACACTGTCATCAGTCCAAACACAGATCAGTATACTGAGTGTTGAGGTTATCTCACGTCTTGTATCAACATGTGTGGACTACAGGGCAACGCTGGCCATCAGGTGTCAGTTAAACCCTGCCATGGGGAACGCAACCTCACCAGAGGCCTAAAGCTAGATGCTATTTTCTGAACAAATCGAATGGTTTCCTCCTATTTTTAAAAATGGAAAAAGATCCACCTTAATTGCATTTTAACTTATAATTCCTTATGAGTGTTTTCATTTCAAATTTCAGGTTTCAAGTTCGGCAGAGGTTATTTTCACTGTTTTTATATCTTTTTTTGTTTTTTGAATTTATTAATCATGTTTCATTCAAACTTGACAACAGGTCCTGGAAGGAAAAGGTTACTTTTGTTGAAAACTCTAGTGTCTTAAAAGGGTTCACCAGCCTTTGAGGAACTAATCACTATCTATCTGCGTCAGAGAAGAGCAGGAAGTTTAAGGTTTTGCCCAGAGTGTTGGGTGGCAGTGGAGGGTGTGAAGAGGGTTAGTCATCAAACTCTGTCCTGTCCAACTCACATGTCTGCGACTCTCACACTGACGGCCGACTGTAGCCTGCATGTGGGCTGGTGTTTTCACAATGTGACAGGGTGCAGATATCTCTAAAGGGGGGCTGCTAAATGTCATTTTGTGGTCTCACAGATGTCACCCTAAAGATGCTGAATACATTTCTGTGTATGAATGTTTCAATTGGCCAGTAGCTTTGGCTTACACATATATAAATCATTAAAGTGTAGACATTCAAAATAACTTCAAAAATGTGTAATTTCAGTGGACAAAATAGCATACGGATGCAGTCAAAGCATATTTAATGTGTGGATTGAATTACCCAACACATGCCCTTTTATTTGATCCCCCTAATAAACATACACATTTCTTGTAAACTGTCTGGAATAGGCCATTTTAAAAGCTCAACTGCTGATTATAATTTTGACACAAATGTCATTAGCCTTCTGTCATTTTCTTCAATAATCAGGCAAGCTGTAAACAATTATAATTGTTTCACTGTCCCACATGCAGTAATCAATTCAAAGACCACCAGTTGCTAGAAGAGAGGAATTGTGCAAATTGCACAATAAAATGATGTTGTTAAAGCCAATCACAACTAATTTACAGTTTGTCTCTTGTACATATACTTTAGAGTGCTGGCTATTAAAAGTAGAGGATCAACTTTGCTTGCAAGGAACAATGCTAATGATTTCAGGGCTCTGCTTTTAAAAATAGCACAGTAGCACTACAACGTCTGCCTGGAGTTGCTTACAGTGCATCTCTCTCTGTAATGTAATGATATTACACTGACAAGATAGTGGCCGTCCACACATATTTTAGGATGTTCCCTAGTGTGATGGCTAACAGACTTCTGCAAAGTGACACATGCCTTAGTTTATGTTTTCGGAGGGGACATCTGAGGTAGCAGACTGGGGCGTTTTCATGATGAATGTATGCCTCATATTCAAATGCTCTTTTGTAAGACAGTGTTGTATAAATTGTCTTTCCACAATTCCTGAAAAGGAATAAACACCACTTAAACTAACATCATTGGAGCCCTACTACAGGCTACAACTGCTTTGTTATTTTGAGCTGTGTTCACCTCATTTGAACCACATGCATGCCATTGTCTCCACTTTAATGTGAAGCATGGGGCATGTGTTCCTCTCAAAGTTCAGGTCAGATCTCTCTGTCCCAGGTTTACGAAGATGCTTTGTAAACACTGTACAACATTAGAAAAAATCTTGCAATGCGCATGTTATTCCGGTCAAGATGCTGGTCAATTCTAAATAAGCTATACATGTTTTGTTAGTAACTGCATGTTCAGCTTTGAAATGTGTATGATTAATTACCTTACCAAAATGAGCAACTACTTAGCAACTTGTCCAACCCAGCACATCATAAAAGTACAAAAATAGAGGTATGTACATCAAACAGGACAGCACTGGAGCCTACTTTGTAATTAATAACCTTGTCCATGTGTTGGAGGACAGGCAAACTAAATCATAAAGAGAGATGTGGATGTTGGGTAAGTGCTGAACACGCAGGTTATAACACAAACATCTGGGGCTTCATTCTTTAACTGCAAACGATACATTTAATATCCGCCTGCATAGTTTTTGATTTGATCTGTATTTAAACGTCCTTGTTCACAATGTAAACATACAAATTTGAAGTGTTGCCAGAGTTATTTGACATAGAATTTGCAGATACATCAAGCAACATTTTATTGAGTAATGTCACATCTCAAAGGTACTCTTTTTTCACGAGTAAGATCACTGAAAAGCACAGAAATTGAGACTGAAGCCTCTTAATCTGGTTTTGTAAGTCCAGCTATAAATTAGTCTGTACAGCGATTACCTACACCCAATCTACTGTACTGTACTGTTCCACGGTCAAGGTCAAAACCTCTTGCCAATTTATATTTCTGGCTCAGAAAACTCTATCCACAGCATTTAAAGCACCAAAATTCAAATGATTAAACAAGGTTTTACACACAGATATTTCCGTGTGCTAACTGCTACTTGTCTCGTAATATTGTCTAAGTCGAACTCCCTGATCCATTATTTCCTCTCCAATGGCACATATTTCCTCAATGATCTCCTATTTCCCTCTGTGGGAAGCATTACTGTAGCTATTTTGGCACATGTGATTTCAATTTAATCATGTAGCAGAAACACAGGCCAACACAGGGGTTAACTTTGGATAGGCCCCTCTGGAGCTACAGTGTGTGGGCAGTGTATGTGCTGACTTCGAGCCAATAAAGTAGCTAACAAAGACGAGTGTGAAGATGCTTACACTACATTTTAGAAGGATTAAATAAAACTTGTTGTTTACATTGCAAGTGAGCTTCTAAAAACATTACAAGAAACCATGTCAGTAGTAACAGACCGGTTTTTCTCTTATTCTAATAATTATTTAACGGAAATGTAAGTAATGTAAAAAGGAAATCCCTTAGAAGATTTATAATTGATATATCAACTGGGTAAAATAACATCATTAGTGTAAGGGACTGCCCATATATCTTTTTGTCGTATTTGTGGGTGTGGAATGAAATATGGCAAAAATTAAATGCTTGCAAATTCAACGAGTGGTAAAGATCAATATTGTGCTAAAGTGGGTGCTAAGTTATATAGTGGTGATAAGCCTGAAAGAAAGATGGGATATTAAACAGTGCCTGCTCATAACTTATCATTATTTTTATGTGATAAATCATATTAGTAATACAAACGCAATTTGTTAAATGTGACTTGATGAACCAAGAAGCAGTTTAGAGGTGAATACTGGAGGTTTATTCCTATACAGTCAGCACTTTTGTTTTCAGCTCAAGAGCATTTTGAATATGTATTATTACTATATTATAAGCCATAACAATAATTACAATAAATGGGGCTCTAATACCCTACATTCTTGTTAAATAAACTTCAGGTTTGTTTCTTTGGAGGCCTATTATTTTTTCCGTGAGCGATTACTACAATATCCCCGTGGCTGGATTTTAATCAGATCAAACGCTGCCCACAGTCTCCGAACATAATGAAGAAAACTCGGAGTACATTGAGCATGCTGTTTACTTCTTAATTAGAGTAGGCCAAATCACATAAATCATGTCCACATCCAGTTTAGATCACTCTCAAAGGGTGGTGCTATCTGAAGGAGTTGCAGGCACAAATGCAATCAGCAGAGCTCCACTGAGATGGGTTCATATTTAACCACCGCGCACATACAGTGTTATGCAACAAGAATTTAGTCTCCATTGCATTTAATCCCCTGTAGCAACTTAATCCTGGGGCTAAGCAAACTCTCCTCCTCAAGCGTCCCTGCTGCTCTGAGCACACACTGAAAAGGAGGACGAGCGGATAAGAAAAGGAAACAAGGGAATGTGGGAGCAGAATAAAGGAGATTTAAGAATACAGTAAGAAATGCAGATTAAGATACATGATTAAAAGGAGAATAAAAAAACTGACTTATAAATAGCAGACAATGGAGGAGTGAATGTCGTGTTAAACATGCTGTTAACATCTTATCGACAGAGGGTTTAAAGGTCAAGCAGAGCCAACTAATGCTGCAGGAGTCTGGAGGAAGAATTACTAACAAATATTAACAAATACTGTAAAGGATCTAAATAGTGCTTTCCATTACTGTATGTTATATAAAGCAGCCCAATGAAGACCAAAGTAAACACACAACACTAAGTAAATTAAATCAGCTTGAACTCTTTAGGGCCCTCCATTAACATATTTCAGACACATTGAGAAACAGCTGGTTTGTTTGCTGGCTTGATTACAAATAGTTGCTAAAGAGGAAAGATTATCAATGCTATGATGGTGTCAGAATTGTTTTGACACAGCATATAAACTAATGTCTTGTGAAAAAGGAATTACTGTAACTTCTCAAGAGAGTCTGAAGAGATTAACTGATGTGAGATTATTGAAAGCTAGTTTCTGAAGACTTCTTTGATAAATTGAGTTTAGAAGTTCAAAAGTCATCACCCTGTAGCGAAAAGTAATGATCTTAAGACAGACATTATCGCTCTCACACTGCTGGGATCTTGGAAGCTGTGCAGGATATTGCACAAGTGCCAGAGGAATTCCCTCTTCACCGAGCATTGATTAATCTGCCTTACTCTAGTGCCTGACTCCAAAAAGCTATTTGCCCTATGATGGCCCAGAAGTTGGCAAATGCACTACCAAATTATCCTTAGCACAGATTTGGGTAAATTCCGTGTTGTCCCTATAGTTGCTACAAAATGTTAATAACTATACTAATCAAAATGGAAAGTGCATTGTATTTCGATTCAGTGTTATCAAGACTGACAATAAACAAGTGAGTCAGGGACTAACCATTGATAATCAATGTTAAGCATTACATATTTCAGCTTGCAGCCTGGAGCCATTTTAAGGAAACTGTTTTAGGACACTGTTGGGTCAGATCACTCAAAAAGGCGTAGCCCTGGATGTTCTTTCCAAGGTATGGACGAGTTATGCAGAGCCTATTTGCACGCTCCATAACTCACAGAGACAGCGTTTATTCCATTCTCATTGGTCGTTCGCCAATGAGGAAAATATTGTATCTTCAGGCACCACTGTTAAAAGTATTAGTATTAATTAAGTCAATTCAAGAGGGATTTAAATATCACTGGGATTGGTCTACAGCTGTGTTGTGAGGATGTGAGGATCCTACCTGACATTGTCATGGCGCTGGATGTAGATTTTGTGAAATATCCTTTCTGGGGGCTTCAGGAAATCCTCTTTCATCTCCATAGCTACGTTCCTGGGCAACAGACTCATTAGCAGGCGCTCCTGTGTGTGTATGTGTGTGTGTGTGAGAGAGAGTGAGAGAAAGAGAGGGAGGGAAGGAGAAAGATAAAGTTACTTTAAATTTACATTTATATAGTCAAACAAAGCAAAGTTATCATAGGACAAAGTGTTAGTGGTGATAAGAAATGTGCTAGACCAAAAAGGCATGAGACCCAGCAGAAATGAATAATGTGTTGAAATGACTCACCGCACGAGAAAGAGCGAGAGAGAGAGAGGGGGAATAACGCAGGAGAAAATAATTCTAGACACGTATCTAATTTTACCCATAGTTTCAGCAGAGCACAGGTGACTGTACCTGCTTCTCGTTCTCATCCTCCATGCGGAGCCTCTCTTCGATGCAGCCGCGTGCCTGCAGGAAGGCCTTCCTCTGGGCTCGCTCTGTCAGGATGCGCACAAACAGCCCTGACAGGTTGACACTGGTGAACAGCACTGTGTTGGCAACCAACTGCAAACAGAAGAAAAATATGTAGCAGGATTAACACTCAAACATATGTTTGGGTGTGTAACTTTTTTGGGTGTGTTCATGTATTGTATATACTCAAATTAAGCATGTCATTTGATTGCTATTCAAATGCACATATATGCACACGTTCATATATGCATGTACAGTTGTATTTGTGAATGTATTTTCCTAATTATAAGGTCCTGAAACTGGGCATTAGGTACCACAAGTGGGCCTTCGAGGGATAAACTAGAATAAAACTAGACATCTCAATTCCCCATGTTTGCGCTTTTAAGTAATGCATCTTTAAGATTTTGTTTCTTTAAAGATTTTTCTAGATTTGCTTTAGTTTGTTCTTTTCCTATTTATTGTGTGTGTATCTGTTGAGCTGGGTGACATGCATGCAATTTCCTTACAGGGTTACTTAATGTTGTATGAATAATACACTAATTATCAACTATTACCTTTTGAGTGCACAGTGTTTGTGACATCTGCCATAAGAGAGATGTGTGGTGGGGGGCCCAATATTTCTCTATTTTGGAGTCTGTGACATTAAAGTGCTTGAGAAGCCTTGCTGTGGTTCATCCATCACAACAGATGCACAGCAGCATGACTGCTTCAACCTTGTGCAGGACACAATGAAAAGAGAGTTTTTTTCTACTTGATTGAGGTTGGCTGGCTATGACTTTGTAAACAAACCAAACACAGTACTATATCCACATCACTAGCAAGCTGTTATCCAAGGCAGGGATTACATTTTCGTAAGAATAAAAGGAATTCATTTCCTTCATATCATTGGTCATTCATCACAAGCTTGAGCACATGATGAAGCATATTTGACCACAAGAAAAATCTATGACTAGGGACTGAGTCAGTTCACTTATTAAAACAAATGTTGAACAACATAAATAGACTGTCAAAACTTTGGATAATATATACAGAAACTCAATATAACAACTTGCATTGCCACATACAGGCATATTTTCCAGTCCAATTAATAATGGATTGCTTTGAAAAGGGAGTTATTGGCAGCAGCAGTCTGTCTTTGTGCTTGGCATCAATGCTGGCAAGCACCAGCATGTTCAAATTATTCTCAAGTTACTTGACAGCCTGGAGTTGGTACATTTGGACATCTGAGATGAGGGGTGCAAAACACTGTAGTCATAACCAAAATGTGCCTTTCAGAGGGAAATAGCTGACTTCATTAAACTGTACTCATCTCTGGAGCTATGTCACCCATTCAAGAGAGCTCCATAGTTTTACGCAGTGAGGAAACTTTACATTGGCTCTTATTATTTAAATTGTGTGTCAAAGTGACACGTGTACCTGGAGCATTGCATTAAAAAGCTTTCATTTTATGTGCATTTTAGAATCCATAATGTTAATGGGCAGCGGAATAAAAGACAAACTGGGACTTGTTACTTTAAATATAGCAGTCACTATAGTATTGTGAATGCGATTGATAGATCTAGATGTTCAGTGTTGTTGTTTTCTGCTTGTCTAATCAAAGCTTTATACGCAAGATCGTAAATGAATGCCATGTACCATTGTATTACTCCGAACTGAATGTTCCTGTTCTTGGCAGAGAGCATTTAGATGTCAGCAAAACTCACAGCTGAGGCAAAGGAAATAGTAATAACCTATTTTTCAAGAAATGTCCCTCACTAGCTTTGGTGATAAGACATTTCACATATAGACTGAGCCATGAGAGCAGATGGTAATGTCTGCTGAGAGCCTAGGACCTATGTTGGCTGTTGGTGCGAGCCTGGGCCGTGTGGGGTCATGCCACACAGCTCATCTCTAAGCTTAATGGATTAGCTATCTCTGGTAGTACATCTAACACTGTCCTTCACATGGCAATGCAGGTAACTCAAAGCCTAGGAAAACAATCTCCTCTGTAAATACGCTGTCACCAGCCAAGGGTGTGATGAACTGATCAAATCGCCATTTCATTTCCACAAAATGCACAATCTTCATGTTATATGCTGCACAGAGGCAGACATGTTCCACTACCCCTGGAGGGTTTGACTGATGGGACATATCCTCTTTCCTCACACCTGATGACAGTGAGAATTGCGAGTGTGTATGTTTTTGTGAAGTAGGTACATATATATATATATATATATATATATATATATATATATATATATATATATATATATATATATATAGAGTGGTGTACCAATTTCTATTTTTGCTCAGGAAAGACATGAATGACTTTGCCCTCTTTTCCATAACTGAAGCATACAGTGTGGTTAAAGTGTGTTGTGTGTGTATGTGTGTGTGGGCAACTCTGTTTGCCCTACTTCTGGTGCTGGCAGGATGTCACTCTGGTTCCTGATTCCCAGCCAGGAAATCACACCCCGGGGAAACAGTCGATGCAGACTAACTTTGTTTGTTTTCATTTTAGTGACCTAAAGCAGGTATACTATAGCTATACCGTAGTTTATTATTACAGAATCTCTGTAGACATCTGAACTTATTTAAAGGTGTGATATTGCAGTATCTAAGGAGGACAATAGTTTATCAAGCAGAAAGGTGCACTCTCAATCTCACTTTGTTTTTCACCAGACTTTAAGATCAGATTTATCGCCTCAAATTATTCTTCATGGTTCATAACTCTGATCTATTGGCAGGGTTAACACCAGCTAGCAATTATGTTGTATACAATAAACACGTTTGTTTAATTTGATCAATGCCTAAGCAAATGCATCAAGTCTAAGGGAACTGTCCGAGGTGCTTAAATGAAGTCTTAATAATGTTTTACTGCATGGGCCTACATTATACCTATGATATTTAATGTACGACGCTAAATTAAATACTATAATACGAACAATACAACACACAAACAATAAAAGGCACCGTAGTTAGTCGGCAGAACATACGTACCGTCCTCCATAGTTTCTGTGTTTTCGCTGTGACAGAAGTGGCAGTCACAATCAAATGGGAGACGGAGACCATTATTCCAAACACAACCGCCAACAGTGTCCGCACAGGCAGGAGCGCATAGGCGACGAAGGTGACCAGTATGAGCTGCCACACGCCTTGCTCGGGGGACGTGGGGGGCTCCATCCCCATCGCGCCCAGCGAGAAGGGACAGCAGAGAAAGGAGAAAGTGAAGCCGAAAAGCAATGCCAGGTTGACGATCTGTTGGAGCTGAGTCACTTGCAGGTACTTGACATTAGTTACGATGAACAGGGAGACGAAGATGACACAGTGGACCGGATGGGACCCCTTGGAGATGGTGAGGCTGGGGCCGGACAGCAACTCCACTAAGGCCAGTGTCGACGACATGAAGATGAGCACGGCCAGGGCTTTGAGAGCGGACGTCTGCTCCAGCTTCAGGTTGTAGTTTTGGAACAGGGACTCGAGCTCCTTGCAGTCGAACTCGTCCTCACACGCGATGGTGGTCAAAGGGACGCCCGTCGGACAGTGACTTCTCTTCCGCCTGGTTTTGACTTTCTGAAACGGTATTTCCTCCATGTCAGTGCCATTCATAAACTGAATACCTGCTCTCGGCTTAGGTCAAACGGAACACCGGATCCCTCCTCCAACACAGACCGGAGCCAACAGGGAAAAGACGCGCGCTGCACAGCGGGCTATAGAAGCTAGAGAGTCCCAGATATCCGGAGACTGGCCGGTGGTCACACACGCGCTCCACTCTATCCACAGGTTGAATCGTGTTGTTCGGAGAGATCAGCTAACACAGAAACCTTCATGTCCCGGCTGTATTTGAACGCGATCTGAAAAAAAGACCTATCGATTTTTTTTAGCATTCGTTTGAGCGCCACATGAGGAGCAGCGCACACGACGTCTAGTTCAGATGGTAAAAGCTTTTTGCAAGGCTCAGATAGGATCACGCCTGCGCATTATGAGGTAAAGATAAGACAGGTCTCAGCTTCTCAACACACAGTCAAGACGATTAGACTGGTGCGGCTGCAGAGCTCCCCTCACCAATGTGACACAACAGTGCATACATCATCCATAATGGCAATATCCTTTTATTTTCCTCCTACACATGACATGTTTCCATCATTACAGCCTGCGCAATCTAATTTGTTTAGATATGCACATATATTTTCCTGTCTCTTACTCACTGAGAGGAACACGAGAAACTAATAAATCAATGTTTCCAGGCCATGATTCATGAAATTCTCACTGAGCTGGCAGCTGCTGTGTTTGCTTGGCACACACGTGATAACATGCTTGCATGCCATTCATCATATGATTTCTGTGTTGCCAGTGAGGCAGCCACCCTCACCATCAGCACCCTCTTGGCATTCAGGGGGTGGTGTCTTAATCATTACCAAGGGAAGATTAGTCATCCGTCACAGGCTGCCGTTGCCATGACCCGTCAGTGCCAAGGAGGGTGTAAGAAAGTGACAGATGGATGGTCCCAAAGTCCAGCCCTCCACCATGCTATACAACACTCACACACCTTCTGCTCCCCTCTCTTTCTCAGCTGTTGGTAGCCTAGCTTTCACTCATCTCACTCTAAGCAGTCTGAAAGGTAAACAGAGAGAGAGAGAGAGAGAGAGAGAGAGAGAGAGAGGAAGAGCCAATAGATATAGAGTAGAGATAGAGAGAGAGAGCGATGAGAGAGAGAGCTATCTATAGAGATGAGAAGATAGCGAGATATAGAGAGTGTGGGTTGGTGTGTTGGTGGTTATGTGAAAATAGAAACTTCGAATATCATACATTTGGCAGCCTACCAAATTCAGAGGCAAAAAAGAAGCAGTACCATTGTGATTTATTCATTTGGGAAGTAATGACAATGTATATACCAAACAATGATTTAAAACAATAAATTATAAGTTCATGATCAAGTTTGCGAAATAATTTTACTGGATTTTATGTCCACAACATTGGCCCTTACCTTTCCCCCTGGTCTGGCTGCCTTTCTCACTTTTCCGCATTATCTATCTGCTCCTCAGAGAGAGATGTGGGACAGATGATGTAGGGCGCATTGCTTTTAGTCTTATCTAAGTTTCTTACCCTTGACACTTTGCACTGGACTTTATTACCCTAATACTGTAGTTTGCCCGTTCACTGACCATAACAAGCCTGAGGTGATATGCAAATGGAACAAAACAGCGTCGTCATATATATCCTGTGGACCAGAGTGCAATTAATCTGGCATTGATTTCCTGTCATCACCTGATCAATATTTCAATATTCCTTGTGTAGCAGCCCCTAAATTAATCTCAATAATGAGCGCTGCTGTTTTTCAATCTTGTAAGACATCTCTCATTCCTTTGATGCAAATGTCAAACTGTGCATTGAAACAAGATGAAAATCTGACATTCACATTGCCATTTTATGTATCTGTAGTTTGTTTGACAGCAGGTGATTGACGGATGGTGTATTTGCATTTGTGGCAAAGCAAGCAGTATTTCCAAAAGGGACCTCTTGGCCTTTTTGTGGCGGGGGACATTGGGGGATGAGAGTAGAGGCATCACACGGTGTAAAGTGTTATTCTCTCCGATTTTGATGGCTTCAGGTGTAAGTGCAGGGTCACACTCCGCTAGTCCTCATCTACTGAGAACAAAGAGAGGTCTTGTGGGAGTTTACACCATAATGCTGCACTCCAAGGGCGTCCGGCAAGGAGACAGCAGCCTTCTCCCTGCCTCTCTACTAAGAAACGTCTTCACTTCCTCTATATCTGTCTTTCTATTTCTGTCCCTTGCTCTTCCATTACACAAAAAAACTCTGAACATTTTTAAATGTGTTAAACAGCTGATTACCTTACATATTTACATTGCAAATCGTTACCTCAATAACAGCTTGATGACTCAACAGCTTGAGCTCTCTGCAGCAATTCAAATCTTCTCCGCCACATGTCAGTTGTAAAGCTTCTCTTTAAAAAGCGAATCTATAGCACATAAAAGATATTGGCAAAGTGCTTGCTACCTAAATAGTTTCATAGGCCTGGTCATGTCTCAAATGTGGCTTCTCTTTTGGAGTAAGCAGTGAGAAATGTCACCCTCTTTCTCTCTCTAAAAATGCAGCAGGCAAGTTCCATCAGTGTCCAGATGTGGTTGAGGCATTGCTGGTCTTATAATAACAGACGCATTGGCTCAACACCAGCAAATGAAACAGCCAAGCCAGACCCAAGAGGGACTGGCGATGCGTGTTGGGAATTAGCTGATGTCAGCCTTAATTAAAATGTGCTAAGAAAGAAAACGCCTTTTTTTCACAGTTGTCAGTCAGGTGTGCTATTCCTGAAAAGGCTATATTGTTATGATAAGAAAACTACAACAGATGGAGAACTTGATGATAATATATAAGCTTTATGAGATCCATAACGTGGTGATGAATATATTTATTTTCCTTTAGTTATGAAATAGAATAGAAAGTATAAATCAAATATGGCCACAAGCCAGTAATTTGTCACATAAACTTAAAAGGAATGAGTCCAAATTCAGCCCTGAGCGGGAACCTGCAGAACTCCATTTGTCAGGGCTGAAAACATAATGCACACATAATTACCAAATCAAAAGTGGTCTTGGGGAAAAAATCCACAAGCTTATCCTTCATTCCCGACAGCCAATGATTTGTCCCCTCTGGGGTCACAACAGATACATGGAGAAGCTATGTGTCCACAGAGTCCATGATTCAAACATAATTCATCTGTGGATGCACTTGACAGTTCAGGGTCAACAAGGTCATTGACCAGGTTTCGACTCCATTTTTAAAAACCTCACACAACAACATCTTGATCAAACACAGGCCATCTGTTTGTCATGTATTCTAATAATGTTTTTTAAATTATTTTTCTAAAGCATTGCACATAGAAATATGACAACACATAACTTGAATAGCGTGTTAATGCTGTTTTGCTTTCTATATCCTCAGTAAAAAGAAACAAAAGCATCTGTCATAATCAGATATATGTAGTGTGTTCTGTTTTTAACATTTGTGATCAGCAGCTAAATTAATCTAGATGTTTAGGTCAAATAACATAGCCCCACCCAGTGGCCTAAGAAATCGTTTTCAGGGCCAGGGATGAATTATGCCATTTAGGATTTAACAAATCAATTACATTATCCAGCTTCTGATCTTAAATATACTTCCTTCCTAAAGATCTTGCCTTCTTTCCATAATAATTTGTATGAGAGGTTAAACAATTGAGTTCTGGGAAGGCACATATTGAATATATATATATAAATACATATTGAAACAACACCTCTTTCCTTTTCAGGGTAAGTTTAAAAAAAAGGTTCATAGCTAGTTATTATATTGTAAAGGGACATTGACCAATTATTGTATTCTACATATTTTTTAAGGATTAGAACAGTTAGACATAATATATCAAATATAACCATGTACTCCTGATGCAGCTCCTGCCTTTCCCTAAACAGTTTACCTGATATTATCCCGTCTTCTCATATGACAGCTTGCTGATTACAACCTTTTGTTTATCAACCTACACATCTGAGGGACTCGTTCAGCGTCTCCTCTATTACAGACAACACCCCCCTTCTAATATTCCACTCACATCAGCATTGCCAATAAACCTGACAGCTAGACTATACTGTTCATGGACACATTTATTTTAACTGCAGACTATATTAGAAAAGAGGTTTGTATTTGCACACTTGTAGTTGCACAACAGTATCCTGCATTACATTTGTTACATTATATTTGTTACTGGAAATTTGTATTTCCACTTGTATATTTTTTTTAATGTAATATTATTTAACTTTTTTTAATTTGTAATGCTGTTATTTCTATTTCTGAAATATTTTGGACTGTTTATTTCTTGTGTCTTATCTTATGTACATTGCCTTTTATATGCTGCTGCAACGCAAACATTTCTCAAATTGGGATCAATAAAGTACTTATCTAACTATCTATCTATTTATCTTTTTATTCCTTTTTTGTATCGTTTGCAATACTGTTTGGATGTTTTCCATCCAACAACTTCATATTTATGATAGAGACACTGTCTATAGGGCTGTGCTATTTCAAAGTACTGCTCTCTAGACCTAACTTCAAAGAAGCAAGACACTGCCCAACCTCCAACAACACTACACAAACGCAAGGTCAGGTGCAACTGTGGCTGTTATTGCACGTGTCTGTTTGAAGGCTTAGGATGGATCAATAGCCATCAGGTGCATGAGATTCAAGTGATACACCCACCTCATTGTGAAATCCTCTTAAAGCTTCTGATAGTTCCAGTAATCTGGGGGAGAGGTAATGTGTAAACTAATCTATGTGCGTATGTGTGTGTTTAAGTGTTTGCGTCAAGTCCATGTGTCTTGTCTCCTCCCACAATGGCTAGCTCCCAAAGTACGTACATCACTGAATTTGGATGCAGAGACATTAAGGTAGAGAGAGATCACTAACTGATAAAGCTTAACACTGCTCTAATTACTACCTATAGGCACTGAAATCAGCTCTATTACAACATCAAATCTAGTGGTGAAAGAAAGATCAAATCAAAATGTAAAACTATGGAACTAATGATGATTTATCACAACTTAGGCCTTATTTTTAGAGTTCTAATACCATTGTGTTGCTGCGGAAATATGGGTGTGTCCACACGTATGTAGTGTAGGTCTTGGTAACCTTTGTTTTCTCTTCCAGATAGTTTTGTCTGACTTTGGAGGAATGTTTAACACCTCTGATCTGATTAGTTGTGTTCCTGAGTTTGTAACCATTTTCCGTAGACACCACATTTCAGTAATTTACTTGGTGAGGGAAATAGCTTTGGAAACAGTGTATGTAGCAAAGCCTATTTCAAGCTAAGTGAAATGAGAAAGAGAGAAAGTAAGAGAGACATGATGGCAGAAATAAAGATAGAAAAGCTAAGACAACAGGAGAGGCCTTCCCTGCTGGTTAACCAACACCTATATATACAATAAATATTGAGTGGGTAAGATAGGGTCAGATAAAGAGTTACCGATCTAGGAGACAATCGAACACAAGCTGATTGGAGACATAACAGATGAGATTCAACAACACTTTAAAAAAGCCTGATGTTGAATACGAAATGGATATTGAATGTCAAAGACACACACAGGATTCAACAGGCAGGAAGGGGAGAGCCTCCTCTAAAGTATGCCTGCGCTGCTGTCCTCATATAGAGTTAAATACTTCTCCGGTGATCAATAACCAGGAGAAAGTGGTTGCTGGCCTTGATCCTAATGAGTGTAGGGTAAGAGCAGATTAGCTTGCACCTGAGCCCTATTCTCCATCAGGCTACCTGGAAGTATCAGTATAAATCAAGGAAATGGCGGAGATCTGGAGAAAGACATATCTGGATCACTGTTTTTCACATATTGTTCATTGTGGGGATATCAGGCTTTTGTGGAACAGAAGACCACAAGTAAAACAACACAAAATACAATGTAGGGTGGGGACAAGTGGATCCTTCAAAGAATTATGTGATTAGTGCTTTTGCTACTTATAAATGACGATGGTTCTCATGGCAGTGAGGGATTAGCAGTGGACCTTTGGTTTCACAGCCAATTCTTGCACAAAGAGTTCAGGGAATGGTTAAGAACAGGAGACGATGAGAAGTACTTGTTGCTAGCACTGTGTGTGTGTGTGTGTGTGTGTGTGTGTGTGTGTGTGTGTGTGTGTGTGAGGCAAGCCCCAGCCTCCATTGCAGTGAATTGATATCTGCTATAAATAGAAAACAACTAAGCCTTTGTTGTTCTATTTTCCTCTGCAGCCAAATTAAATAGCCTACGCTTATTTTTAAAGCCAATCTATTTTGGAAGCTCATCTGTTAATTGAAAATGTTTAAACGTATGTTTATGGTTTGGTTATATTATGTCATACACAACAGAAACAAATTATATCAAACAGTTAACCTGGAAAATACTGTAAAACAATCCCTTTTTTTCTAAAATACTGAAGCACATTTCCTTTCATAAAATATGTTTACACCTGTTTTTAAAATAAATAAAATATTTGTAATGTTCATATCTCGTCTCAGTGCCTGACCTGGTTTGGTCTGACACTTCTGCAGGTCTGCATACAGAAATAAAATAAATGTTACCGGTACACATACAGCTCGAACATCCAGCTGGCCATCAAATACCACTTTCAGCGTTTTTCCAAACACAGAGACTGCAACAAAGAGAGTCAATCAAACATTACATGTTACTTGTTAGACGCTTTTATCCAAAGCGACTTACATACTCAGTAGTGGGCAATCCCCACAGGAGCAATTTGGACAGCACAGACACGCCATCACCCGGTCAATCTAACACCTCATTCAAAGAAACAAAAGGATATTTGTAGAGCTGCCACCCATGATGATGAGTCTATTAACCCCAAGGCTTTTGGGTCAACAACAACATTTCCACTTCTGTCTCATCCCTACCAACTGCGTTCATGAATGAGCTAGTGGTTCCCAACCTGGAGGGGCGCCAAAAATCGCAGGGGGGGCGCCAGGCCTCAGATGATTTGAGGCCAAATATCATATTTAGACTTCTTTTTTTTTTTTTAAAGCAATACATGATTGTCTCTACATTACAATACAAAAATAAAAATAATTGATTAATTAATTTGAATACAAATTCAAGTAAAAAGACAGAAATGTATAATTTTTCCTTTAATAGAAATGTTTCTTCTGCCTGTAAAGTGTCCAAACCAGGCTTTTCTGGATAAGCGCATTTTTAAAACAGTCATTCTCCATGCCGGTTTCAGTTGGATTATTTGTCACAGTTGCTCCGATCAGATCGGTCTCCTCCATTTTGTAGATTATTTACGATTTTTGAATCCACATAAACACATCGGCAAAATCCGGCTTACTTTGAGCATGTGTTTTAAACAGTTTAATCCCTTTGTGAATTGGTTCCACTTGCGCCGTCCTTTAATTTCTTCATACAGAGGGAATCCAAATGAATTCATCCTGAGTCCAATAACCATCAAAGTCACTCCAATAGTGCTCCTTAATTACGCTTTCATCCTCCTTTAACAAAATACTTCACATTCATCTAGTTTGTGACAGGAGTTATACCAGGAGTCATTTGGGGGGGGCTCTTGGGAAAAAAGGTTGGGAACCACTGAAGGACTTGGGAGCAGAGTTGTCCGCTCTCTGAAGGCCTTGTTCACATCAGTCCAAGAAATTACCAAATCAGATGGCGGAGATTTTTAAGTGCTCCTCAATGTACCTTTTTTCCTGATGACAAATGGGACTTGGCCTTACAACCCCTTGAAGGACAAGCAGCAGTGATAAACGAGGAAATTAGGAAATCTAATCATGGCAATGACGATGAGTATGTTCATTAACAGGTGAAGTTTTAAACAAAGGGATTTGATTTGGATGCAGTTGTTGAGCAGAAAAAGCAAGTGGTAAGGCGCCATACAGTAAGAGGAATACAACCTGAGGGCGCACGTGCTTTTTAACCAATGTGAACAACTCTGTGGTGCGTTTGGTCCTGCAATTCTGTGTGTACTAAAAATATAATAACGTGAGGACTGAAACTACAGTGGGCATGAAATTAGCTCGACTCCCGTGATACTGAAGATGGATCACGTACCTGTGGGTGTGTGTGTGTGTGTCCCTATCACTCAAACACGTAGTCAGTGTAGCTCTCTTGAGATAATTCCTTTACGACTATCATCATAACACTGTCTAATGAACATAACCTTCCATGGGTAATTTTAATGACTCATTTCCACTGGGTGATTTAACCATGTTAGTCCAGTCAGTCAATGAAGATAAATGCTTAAGGAGTTGGATTATTTGCCTTGATGATACACGTCTGTGCCACCATCAACAGTGTCTTGGTCTACTGCTCCACAAGGAAAGAGCTGAACGATCTGCAACAGCTGGTGAAGACCGTTCAGCGAGTTATGGGACCACAACATGACCTCTGAAGGATAGAGAAACAGAGAAACTGATCATTTTGCAGGGGTCTCTTAATTTGTTCAGAGCTGTATGTAAGAGATTACTTATTGTCAAAAGTTTGATTGAAGCTGTAGCAAGGCAAACAGATTTGGTAACACTGAGCCACAATCTAGAAAAATAAATAATCTAAAGCCGAATAAACCACATTTTTGAACTTGTTTAAAATGTCAAATTTAAACAACCCCTCCAAAAATAATACTATGGAAACATAAAAAGGTATCGAAATCCATGTAAGAGATCGGCTGGGGCAACAGATGACCCATTGTGTCAGACTGCTTTTCACTTCAGACTGTTTCCATCCTCAGCAGCATTATGATTGAGGCTCATTTTTGGACTCGGCTCGCCTGAGCCGTAACAAATCTGGCCTCAGGGTGCTTAAGTCTGCATTTCCTCTCACTCATGCATACCAAGAGAAAAACTGGATACAATAGTGTTGAGTTACTGTATAACCTAGGATAGAAAGCTACATGCTGGCATCTACTGTTCATTTGTGGCACATACACATTACAGTACACTCTACTAAAAAAAAGGAACAATTATTTATCAATGCAGATAATAAAACACAAAAACAGCCAACGTACATTTAGTGTTTTAATAATAACATTCTCTATTATTGCATTGGAAGTTTTCATCAACATCAAGGAATTGTGCGTGATGTTTAAAGGCAGGGTTATCAAATATGTGATTGCTTTCATTTTTATACAATTTCCATCTACAGTTAAACATATATTTGAAAAAGAAAAAAACGATCTATTTTTGAATAACCCATGACATGTACCTATTGATTTCCTACAAAACCTTCAAACAGCATGAGAAGGAGTTTATGCGGCATCAGGCTAGGATTGAACAGAGAACATTTCCCCCTCTCTACCTTCTCTGTCCTTGGTCAAAGCAAACTCTGGAACTGTAACATTGGTTGATTTGCACGTAAGGTTTAAAGCAAGCCTTTGGTCAAGGTTGTGTAAACAGCTTTGAAAGGCACAAGATTATTTTACTACATACATCTGTTCAGTAGAGAAAAAATGAATATTCTTATACGCAACATTATATAGGAATAGTAATACCCTCTAATATCTCAGGATACAATATCCAATGCAAATAACTACACATAGTGCATTCCCTATGGTATACCAAACTGCATAGCTCCTGCCTAACTCAAAAGCAGTAAATATATCAAACATACAAAACCCCATTTCCAGTTTATCCAGCTATACAGTATATTCAAGTATTAAGATATCCATCTACAAGTTTAAACAAGCTACATTCTAAGCTTAACCCTCCATCTACCAAGCATAAACAACTTATTGTAAGGCAAACATTTGAATAAAATAATGCTATGCACCACCCATCGAGCCTTTGATTGCATTAGTATGTAGAAGAAGCCGCTGGTTACCGTTTGTAAAGTAATTATTTTTACAAACTTAAATACTCTCCGATTCATGTTGCGCCAAAGCCTGGGGAAGCGTTGTTCCACATGGACCCTGGAAGTGGAACCTGAGCCACATCACACAGAAAAAACAAGGTCAGAATTTGAGGTTAAAAGGCTAAAGGTAACTTATTGATTCAAGGTTCTGGATATTGCCTATTCTTCCACTGGATGGCACTAAATATCACTTTCAGCTTACTAACTAACAACTTTATTAAATATAGAAAATTCAGTTTTGTGAATAACTTACGTGAAGTACTCCGTTTTTGGAGTTGTATTGGTGTTAAATTCCGCCACTGGGACGCCCCTTGATGCAATCTGGGGCCCAAACATGGCTGCTGGGTAAACAATGGAAGATGTGCCCACCTACAGGTTAACAACAGGGAGAGAAAAACACCAGTGTCAACTTGAAATCTACTAAATAATAGTAAATGGTACAGTATTTTATCAATTTTGACAAAATGTTTTTTTACCTACTAATATTACACAGGAGGAAGATATAATATATCCACGTAAAAAAGGATGACTCACCACCAGACAGAGATCACAGGTTTCCATCTGTTCTTCCACCTTGGTCAGGATATGAGAGTCCATGGTTTCTCCAAAAAACACCACGTTGGGTCTCAGAAGACCGCGGCAGTCTCTTTCGCCACACCTTGATACAGCAGCACCAAACAGTCCTTAGACGATTAATTGTTTTATTCCGCACAAGTCTAAATCCACACATACTTCACTAATTTCCCTGATTGTATAGCCGTGCATGCAACATGCTTGATGTTTAAAATCAATGAAAAACAATGAAGCAGCGGACATGTGTTTGTTGTCATATCAAGGTTACTTTTAGTTGTCAGTGTGTAACTCTTATTATTTGCTTTTATTTAGCAACCTTTGCTAGAAAGCCAATATGTTCATAGCTCACCACTGCCCCTATGTGGAAGCCCTGGCTGCCATATCAATAACATTGGAATTGAGTTAATTCCCATGATACAACCAAGTCATGAAGGCCAGAGAGGCAGAGAAAAAGATATGTTATGCTTGGCACAGGTCACTGATGGTTTTTGTCTAAAATCATTAAGCTCAGATTAATGACGATACACATGTCCCAGTTAAACTCCACCTAAGAACAATGATCTTTATGTATTTATATTAGAAAGGCACTAGGCATTTAGCCTCTTATTAAGAATAGAGGCAGATTAATAAGAGGCATGATATCATAATACAAGCCATTGCGACAGATGGTGAGGGAGATGTTGAACAGAGAAAGAGCAGCAGGTCCAGCAGAAGCTCAGAAGCAGAGCAGCTGAATCTCAAAAAGATTTCTGTGCAAGAAAGGTTGCATGTTTTTCTTTTTCACTACAACCTTTCCTTTAACATTCTTCACCTGCTCTTTATAGGACAAGTATTTTCACATAAAACTGGAACACACACAATAAAGAAAAACTCATATCTCCTCCTGGTATTTTCAAAAGAAACCTCAAGAGGAGATATAGATAGTTCCCCTACTGCCATGCAGACTGCACCTAAGATGACGAAGAAAACTCCAGATGTAGTGTGCATTCGAAAATCAGTCGGAAAGGCTCAGTTATTCTGACCAAAGAGTTGTTAATATGAAGTGACAGTAATCCCACCTTGGTAGTTTATCCACAGGAATCTGGGCATCGGCAACATCTGCGTCAGGTGCGCTGTACAGAAAGAGAACAAACACAGTGGGGTAAATGACACATGTGGTTCAAACTGAAGAGGTCAGGCTATACATCTTGCATGTTTATCAGTGTGTGTTTACTCCAGAGGGGCTGCGTTTTACCCTTTGTCCTTTAGGGCAGCACATATGGGGCTCCGCTTGTTGACAGCCACGTGTCCACAACTCACACAGCGCGTCTCCATAAGACTGCCTGCAGTTTCACAACAACAAAAAAACACAGCTGTTTTTCATCTGGGCCCACCACAGCCATTGAAAACATCTCCTTGTCCACGGAATGTATTGACAGTAATCGTTCTGTTTTCCTGACTCAGACACAGTTAATTAAAGCAAGATTTGAGCAAAGAAATAAAGGTCTGGTGTAGGGGTGTAACGGTTCACAAACATTTCGGTTCGGTACGTACCTCGGTTTTTTGGTCACGGTTCGGTTCGGTACGTTTTCGGTACAGCAGAATTTTTTTTCACAAAACAAAACATATATATATTTTTTTTAATTATTATTATTAAACTGTGAATAATGTATTCACTCAAATAAATACAAAATATAATAAAATAAACATTAAGGTGCAGCATTTCAATGAACTGAAATAATCTGTATTTGAACTTTACTGTACTAGTACTCACAAAACATAAACTATTAGTTTTGGGTTTTTAATTATTATTAAACTATGAATATTCACTCAAATAAATACAAAATATAATAAAATGAACATTAAGGTGCAGCATTTCGATGAACTGAAATAATCTGTATTTGAACTGTACTGTACTAGCACCTAAGTAGCCAGTTTGACATTAGGACTTGCTTGTCATTGTATTTTCATGTTTTTTTAAATAAAAATTAACTTGTCCACATTGCTTGCCGAAAGGGCAGATCTGCTGACACTAACAATGTCAAAGGGGGGTGCGCAAAAAAAAAAAAAGTTTTCATTTTGTATAATCATTTTGCGTAAAGATGGCACTCAAGGGCACACTAGTGGTGGTGTTCCTGGCGGGATTTGAACTCACAGCCTTCCGATCTTCAGCCCACCTCACTATCCATTAGATCAATCACTACCCTCTCAAATGGAAATATGTGTTTACATAAATGGTGACCACACCGTTTGAGACCCACTGAGAACTTAAACTAAGTTAACTATCTAAACACTCAGAGAGTCCTTTACCTCACCTGAGCTGAGGTTATCCCGAGCTTGAATGACACACAGAGACCAATCAAGGGCTTTGATTTATGATCTCTATGACAGTGGCCATGTTGGCAGGCCACATCATGTAGACCAGAGGTGCCCAGTACGTCGGACCACGGGGGCAATGCTGGTAGATCGCGAGTCATTCATAAAAAAAAAAAATCCTGTTCCGTTAAAATAGACAAAACAGGTTTTGATCCCTCCTCCCTTGGCCTCCCTGCCACTTAATTCAGGAGTTTACTTGATTGACAGAAAAAGCGACCTATCGCTTTCCAGTCTGTTAACCCAGAATGCAAAGCGATACAAAATCAGTCAAGTGCCGGGAAAACTCAAATTAAGTTAAAGAGACAAACAAGAGACAAACAACCAAATGAGTGCGGGACCGAGCAAGAAGCTAAAGACAAACCACTTCCACCCAGAATGGGAGGAAGAATATTTGTTTGTGATGTCACATTCAAAGGTTATTTGCCTTATTTGTAAAGCAAGCGTCGCTCTGCCAAAGAAAGGTAACGTGGAGAGGCATTATCGGAGTGTTCACAAGGCATATGACAGCGACTTCCCTCCGAGTAGCGAGTTGAGAAAGAGAAAGGTCATGTATTATTGCTACACAAATATTATCTTGCAATCTTAGTGTCGCCAACTCGTTTCTAACATGCACAAAGACAAACAAATGTCGGTGTATTTTCGATCTTTCCAATCGAGACGAGATCTCTCTCCCCCGTCTGTGCGCGAGGGGGCGGGGCAGTTTACACACACGCGGCTGCTACATGCAGCAACACACGGAGGGGATGGCGGAGAGAAGCGCTCCAAGGTGTGGTTAAATGTTACCCGTCTTGAGGTGGACAATGCTCCTTGCCAAGAGAGTTCAGCATGTGAGGGCGGTAACACGAGCAATGTGTCAAACATTTAGCAAAAGTGCACCACATCCAGACGGAGGAATGCACCGGGTTCCACTGTCTTTCTAGCAGCTCTGTAGCCCCATCCACGAGTAACGTTTCCACGTCAGGTGTTATGTATGCTAGCAGCAACACACGCAGTTAACTCAATGATTCAAACATGGGTTAATGATTAGAGGAAACTGAGTTACTCTTTATTTTGTTAAAGTTTCAGCTATTCTGTTCACAGTTCTGTCATCAGATTATTTAATACGATTTGTTAAAACATTGTTGTTTCTTTTGATGTGAAATATTATTTATTTAATTGAAATAAAAAGCAATGTTAGTTTTGTTCACAATTTGTTAATTTAATAATATATGTATTTTTGAATCAAGTATTCATCTTTATTGTCTTCATTGTTAGTTTCCACATGCCTAAAACAACCTCAAGCTAAATCTAAAAGTTGATGGCTAAACAAGAGGGTTTGAGAAATTGTGCAAGGCATACAGTAATAGTCTGAATAGTCGATTAGTCGTTTCATTAATCGATAGATTAATCGATTATCAAATTAGTCGTTTGTTGCAGCCCTATTATCCCATGTATAAATAAAACGTGTTATTCAGCAACCCTTGCAATTTGGGATTTTATTTTTGGTTGGTAGACCTCGGTGAGCTGGTCATTTCAAAAGTAGCTCACCAGCCCAAAAAGTGTGGGCACCCCTGATGTAGACAGCCGGGCGAGATCAGAGCAAGGGAGCGAGGGATCATTGTCCACAAGTTAATCGATCGCAGATGGCGTCGTGGTCACGGACGAATACAAAAAAAACGTATAAATAAAAAAAATGGGTCGCGAAATATACTTGGGCGGCCGTTAATATACCTGGGCGGCCCGCCCAAGTATAGTCTATGTGTGGGAAACCCTGCACCTGTACCGAACCGAAGGGCCCGTACCGAATAATTTCGGTACGTGTACCGTTACACCCCTAGTCTGGTGCAGTTTTTGCCACAATCTACCCTAGAACTGTGTGAAAACAAAAGATTTGAAGTTTGAAATGAGAGAATCAGCTTTGGAATTGGTGTACTGATATTACATTACTGACTAACTGTTGGCTCATGGGATGTTTGTTTGAAAGACCAACTATGAATCACAAAATGTTTCCACAACCAAGTAAAACATGGCATAAATAATGGTGCTGTCATAGTTTCCAGTTCCACTGACTATGGAGCACCTTCATGATTTACTTTAAATTAAATTGCATTTTAGCCTTACTTAGTATGTTTTTCGCAAGGTTGTAACACAGTTAATGAATCGAAATAAATAGAATTAAAATATACTTTAGTTCAATTTAGGAAAGATCCCAACTACAAAGTGAGTATTCAGTGCGACAGAAAACCATAGAATCAAGCCAAAATCAGGTCTCTAGTGAAATGCATGGTGGCGTGTAGTTCTGGCCAAACTCACCATGAATCTTGAGCAGATGTTTGGACCCGGCCTGTCGGTGCAGGTCGTCGGTGCACTGGGTGATGACCACCACCGAGCGCCCCTGCTTCTTCAGCCGGGCCTCACACTCGGCTATAGCCAGATGGGCAGCACTGGGCTTCCTGTTCAAAGCCAGCTCTCTCCTGTAATGGTAAAACTCCCAGACCCGGGACGGTGTTCGAGAGAAGGCCTCTGGGGACGCCAGGTCCTGTGCATACATAAACAGAAGCATGCTTTAACTCAAAACTCAAATGCTAACAAGGTCAAACGTGTTGTCTTCAGAGGCAAGGATTTGACAGATAATGAAAGTCAAAGATTAGGTTTAACACCTCGATTAAAAAGGGGAGAATATCATCTTTTTTTATGAAAGACTATTTTTTTATTCTTTCCTGAAGGTAAATCTACATGTAGCCCACAACATGTATCCAGATTATGCAACAAACACCATTCCTCTTGGCTGTTGCTTCCAAGATAAATCCACTGAGCTGTGAAGATGTATTATGTAAGCATTAAATACACCCACTCAACAAGTGTGAAAATCAGACCAAACACAAAAGTTTGACCTATATAAAAAGACAACAAAAAAAGAAGTGTGTTTTGCTTTTAAGAAAATTACCTGAGATTGCCACTTCCTCCACTTCTCATGTTCTCCCCTGAAGGTTGGTACTCCACTCTCTGCACTCACACCTGCCCCTGTGATGATTGCTATGTGCTTGGCTTTGGAAAAAACCTTGCGGAATTCAGACATGTCTGGGAAAATAAAAAGAAGAGCAAGATATAAAGACTTGCTGTCTATGTGTCATGATTAGGGATGGGTATCGTTTGAAATTTATCGATTCCGATTTCGATTCCGGTTCTGCTTATCGATTCCGGTTCTTATCGATTCCCCGTTTCGATTCCAAAATTGTAAAATATAGAGGTCAAACGTTTAGATAACAAAAATATATTTATTCTTAAAAGCTTTAACTGAAATTGTTACTAAAAAATATACATGCAATACAAATGTATTGCACAATAGCTGTGCTTTATTTTAACTGAGCTATGCCTGTGGCAAGCTATTAACAGGCATTACACTTTGCCTTTTCTTTTTCTTTTTTAGTGTAGTGGAGCCTCACTTCAGAGTGTTTACCGCGACCTATCTTTGGTGTTATGAAGTGACTGAGCTCGTGAAATGTCTACGGGAGGGCGGGGGAGCATCGCTGCGGGGCAACTGTGGACCTCTGTCGCCTGTCAGCGCAATTTATATGATGCCGTTTAAAAAAATGAAGGGCGGTGCCGGCCGTCAACGGCCCGCTGACGACCGGCCGTTCTGTGATTCTCCAGGTCCGCCCTGTATTCCACCGGGTCACCGCAGCACCGCGGTGCAGACGGACCCGCTGGAATACAGGGTCTACCGCGTTTAGGAACCGTTAAGCAGAACCGAAATTGTGTATTTTGTATGGGTACCCGGTACCCGGCATTTTCTTATCGGTTCTCACCTGGAACCGAGTTTCGGTTCCCAACCCTAGTCATGATACAGATTTTCTTCATCTTACTTATAGGAGTTGGCCTAAGTATTACAATTGCTAATATTACAATATGTTATACATATATAGGGTTTTTGGTGTCTCTGCAACAGACTTTGCATAAGTAGAGAGGGGAAAGATTGATTTGAGAAAGATGTCCTGTTGGCTATGCAATTGTACAACAATGTGTCTGTACCTTGTTGCAAAACATTACTAAAAACACTGAATTCAAACATTTTTCTGAATAACGTTTTTATGCACAGCGCTCGTCAGGAAGGATGACCTGATTGGCTGATAATTAATGTTAAAGGAAGGACAAATATTCACCTGACACAGCAGCCAACAAACCTAAAACCTCATTAAACCTAACCTTTATCATTTTACCTGAGTTGGGTCTTGCTGTGTCCATCAAAGGTCCTTTCAGCACATTTGTGGAGCAAATGCGAAGACCAAGGGCAATCACAGCTCGATTCTGGAGTAGCATTGTCACTGTTGTCCAAGACGACCAGATGAACACGTGAAAAACATGAAAAATAACACAAAAACAACTTGTTGATTAATTTAAAGCATGTCCTGCAGATGTTCTCTTTATATTTCATGCCTTATGACTTGAGAAATATGGAACTTACATTTTCTTTAAAACCTTATTTTGTGTAGCCAAGCTTTCAAACCAACAGAACATCACAGAGAATCTTAACAGACATCCCAACGTTTCCAAAGATACAACGTATGTAACTTAATGCAGACAAAATAAATGCTAAATTCATCTAAAATATCTACATTTGCTGGAATAGTTCAGCCATAAGGATAAAAGCTGAAATGAAGAGTAGGACACATCATATTTGATATGTGATGCTGTATGTGAAAAGTTTGCAAAATCATAACTGAGGGTTATACTTTATATATATAATGTAAATTCTGAATAATTGAGCCTACGTATGTGCAACTGCCTCCCTTTATATAAGATAGCAAAACATAATCAAAAAAAGATATGGCTGCAGGTATGGCTGCATTCTTGTGCAAGTCAGAGCAATGACACTCTTGACTTGTACTAGGCAATTGAAACACACCTACTTGTTGGTAATGATAAGACGGAATGTGCATACAAATACA